CAGAGGACGATATAGCGTCACAAGACGTATCAGAGGGCGAAATAGACATTACTCAGCCGGATGTCCCGTCTACAAATCCATGGATCCCTCCTACAGCCTATACAGAGGAAGAATTTAGTTGGTCAGCAACCACGAAGCAACAGGACCCTTCTATCCCGGCTCCTAAGCCATACATTGCTACACAGGGCATCGAATGTCAGCGATTAGGGGATATAACTTTTAATCAGATAAGATATGCTGAAGTGCAGAAGAAACTACATGCTTGCCCAGTTTTCAATCCTTTGAAAATCAATCCCATCATGACAACCTATATGTCATCGTCTGGGCAGGAAAATTTGGTGCGTGCAGATTATACCTTGGGTACTATAACGCACGCCTTACTGCTCCAAAGGGACGCTTTGTCAAATACTCTAAAGGACCTGGCAACCAAACATCCGGCTATGAAAGAAGATTTAAAAAGTATCTTGTCAACAGACTCACCATTGAAGACGGTCTCAGATGATTTATTGCAATATGTATGTGGCAGAAGGGCAGAAGTTATTGAACAAAGAAGAAATACACTCCTCCCAAAAGATGCATATCAAGCCTCTCTACTCAGTGCAATACCTCCTTCCACAACGCATCTGTTCTGTGAGAAACAATTAGCGGAGTTGCTCAAGCAGCCATCACATCAAACCTTTTTTCGCACCCCCTATAGAAAACCACTGCAGCCCAAACGATTTGATGTTCCATCAACATCTCGACAAGCCAGGCCGACGGAGAGAGGTCCGAAAGCGTCTAGGCCTTCTAATCGACCACGAAAGGCATTTTCTGGCAAAGAAAATGAAAATTTCAAACGTCCAAGCAGCTCCAAAAACCGAGACAAAAGCCAGTCCGCCTTTCGAGGAAAGACATCAAAAGAGAACCCCAATGGGGGACACTCATCAAAAAAGCATAGGAGCTTCTGAAGGTTTCAGTGGGGGCCGGCTTCTAAAATTTATAGAGGTCTGGAAGAGGGAGGGGGCGCCATCAAGTATTCTAAATATAATCAAAGGGTACCTCATTCCCTTCGTGAAGCAACCCCCACTCATACCTTTTCAAGCAGGAATCAGGAAAAAATTCGAGGTAAAAACATTGGATTTGGAAATTCAATCACTCATAAAGCGGGGAGTTCTAGAAAGGACAACTTCCAGGTCTGGCTACCTGTCGACTATGTTTCCAGTCCCAAAACCCAACAACAAAATTCGTCCTATAATCAACCTCAGGGGCCTAAACAAATATTTGTCACCAAAGAAATTTCGACTAGTAAACCATTTCAAAGTGCCTCTGTTTCTACAGAAAGAAGATTACCTTGCAAAAATAGATCTTCATCAGGCTTACTTTCATGTTCCTGTAGCCTCCCGTCATCGAAGATTTCTCTCAATAGTCCATCAGAACAGAGTGCTGCAATTTACATGTCTCCCGTTTGGTCTATCGACAGCCCCCCTAACCTTCGCAAGGGTATCAAACTGGCTGGCGTCGTGCCTAAGACAGATGGGGATCAGAGTTATTGTTTACCTCGACGACTTCCTACTTGCCAACCAAAATCCAATAAAACTACAGGAGGATGCGATTGCAGCAGCACAATTCTTAATAAAGTTAGGATGGTTAATCAACACAGACAAGTCACTAATCAACCCGTCTCAGTCCATAGAATTCCTGGGAATAAAATGGGACACAAAGTGCAACAAAAAGTCACTTCCGGAGAAAAAGATATCTTCTTTAGAGAAAGATCTGAACGATGTCCTAAAAAGTCAGGTATGGAGTTGGCAATCTGCAAAAAGCTTGCTGGGCAAGCTAAATTTCGCTTCGTTTATAGTGCCACTCGGCAGACTTCATTCCAGAGAGATTCAGAGAGCGGCCAATTTGTTACCCGAGAATCTCCGACGAAAGAAATTTCTAATCCCGTCAAAGGCACTTCAACAATGCCATTGGTGGCTCCAGAACGTCAGGGAAAAAAGTCCAATCTTCAAGGAGAACGAAACTACTTATATAACAACAGACGCCTCGGACAAAGGATGGGGAGCTCAAATAAATGGCGAACTGATCAGTGGACTCTGGGACAGTCATCAGTGCAACTGGCACATCAACCAAAAAGAGCTGTATGCAGTAATTCAAGCCTTTTGTCATGCAGAGAACTTCATAGAGAACAAGAGAGTGATAGTACAGTCGGACAATCGAACTGTAATAGCTTACATAAAAAATCAAGGCGGAACAAGATCAAAGCAACTGACACGCCTAGTCAGTCAGTTGTTGATTTTAGCTCAGAAATTACATGCGGAAATAGTTCCCCAATATATACCCGGGGTATACAACGATATGGCAGACAGCCTGTCCCGTCAAATACATCTTGCAGATTGGCATCTCTCAAGCAAGATATGCAGCCTCATTTTTCAGAAGTGGGGAGTCCCCGAAGTCGACCTTTTTGCATCAAACAGATCCAAAGTAGTTCCAATTTATGTATCTCGGGATGTAAGGGACAAACAAGCCCTGTTCATAGACGCATTCAGCAAGAGATGGGAGTTCAAGTTAGCTTGGGTGTTCCCACCTCCATCATTAATTCCACGGGTGTTAGCCCATCTAAATCAAGCCGAGGGTATCTTCATTCTGATAGTGCCGTGTTGGGACAAAGTGTTCTGGAGATCGGACCTACGTTCCCGAGCCACAGACCGTCCTTTCCAAATTCGGAACCCGCACCACCATCTGCGAGATTTAACAGCCCAGAAAAATGTACCAAACGTTTGTTTGGAGGCCTGGAGGGTACGGGGTGGTCAACCCTAACTAAAGACTGGTCAGAGGAGGATTGTAATCTATTGCAAAAAGCTTGGCGGCAATCATCACTTAAGACTTATTCAGCTCCGTGGAAGACGTGGGTATCAAGATGTCGACTGCTAGACCTTAACCCCAATAGGCCAGATGCAGTATCAGTAGCCCAACACTTAAGCTCTTTGTTCAGAGAAAGAAAACTATCACCTAGCACTATAAAGCTTCACAAATCTGTAATTGCAACTTTTGCAGACCCATGCCACAAGGATTCCATCACTAATAGCCCGGTAATTAGACAGATGATTAAGGCCATTGAACTGTCATTGCCCCCTGTTACAAAGAAGCAGATTTGGGATATTAAAACCATTATCACCTGGATGAGAAACGCTACAATAAAGGAAGACAGCGTATTTCAAGTCTCACGGCAATTAGCTCTAATATTACTACTAGCTTCAGGAAGGCGCATTCACGATCTCACGTTACTCAGGATAGATAGTGAAAGCATGTCCATTGACGACTCATCAGTCACTTTTTGGCCTGATTTTGGATCAAAAACTGATAACCACACACATCGTCAATCAGCTTGGAAATTGTCTAAAATACAGGATGAGAGGCTTAACCCTGTTCGGTGGACAAATTTGTATCTTACTGTTTCCAAAAAAAGACGAGAAACAGGTAATAAACAAATTAATTCCCTGTTTATAACATCCAGAGGCCGTGTGGCACCTGCATCTAAAGCAGTGATTGCTGGATGGTTGAAAACAGCCTTTTCAGAAGCAGATATCAATTTTTCACCTGGCAGTATTCGTTCCGCTGTTGCTTCTTCCAGAAAGGCAAATATGGTTCCATTGGATATAATTTTAAGTAACGGTAATTGGAAAAGTGATCGTAATGTGATTAGACATTACTTTAAGGAAATAATCAGTATTCCTACCAAAGATGATTCCATTGACTTAAGTTTAGTTAATGCTAGTTTTAGTTCTATCTAAGGTTCCTATTATTGTTCCTATTGAAGCTTTTGATTTATGTTTTGTTTCATTATGATTCTATAATTTAAATATAATCAGTTTCTTCGAAAATTATATTGTTTTAACTGAATTCATTACACAAGCATTTACTAATTTTACCTGAATCCGTAATAAACTAACCTATCTAATTCACAGTACGCTTCCCCCCGCGTCGTCAGAACCCAAAAATATCTCACATGGTCAAGCCGACGGCACAGACCATGAAATAGCGAACGTTTTTCCCCCGAAGGGATAAAAACGATATATTTCATGTCTTGCCTAGGCTTGACCAGGTAATTACTTGACGACTGGATCTCAAGGTACTGACTACACCGCGCTCGCAGCATCGTTCGTGGAACGTCCCCCGCGCGGGGGTGGAAGCGCGGCTAGACGGCGCGGGAGGGGAATTGACACGTGTGTTCACGTGAAAATCGGAGGATGTAATCTCACATGGTCAAGCCTAGGCAAGACATGAAATATATCGTTTTTATCCCTTCGGGGGAAAAACGTTCGCTATTTGTGCATTTTAAGCAAAAATTAATAAAATGCGTCACGATACCTGCTGTGTAGTTGGCTGCAAGAACAATGGCAAAAATAGTGATAAAAAAAATTATAGATTTCTTCGAGTGAGTTGGAAATAAGAATAAAATTACTAAGCTTCACCAAATAGGAGTATGAGTACATAGAAAAGTATGCGCTCATGTTCATGATGTAAATTACATATTTTTATATTTATCAGTTACGTAAAAGTGTCATTTTAAAGAATTTTTCACATTAATTTACTTTTTTTTATTGTATCTAAAATATATTTTTTGTGCCAAATTTTGTATGAAATCTAGTTGAATAATCAAATTTTAATGTCAATGTTATAGGTATATATAATCAAGCAAGATGAAATAGTTTAAAGGACAATTTATTATTATTATTATATAGTGAATATCTGTAGCCTTCGAGAAGTAGTGATTATATTTACAATTTGAAATTTTATTGTTAATGTTGTAGATAATTGTGTACTAGTAGTATGACTTTTCTATTCCATAATTGATTGTGGCATTTTAGACTGAAAATAAAAAAAAGATCAACAGTATTAACGACACCTTAGGTTTACATAATCGAATAAAATCTCAGTTAATTTAATTACGCTATTTCAATAAAATTATTGTTTGTTTACTTACTATTCGTACTAAATGCCAACCATTTGACATTTCAATGTCCGACATAATTGTAACCGCTAGTTGGCGCTACCATCGTGCACCTAGCGAATACATAAATAACCCACAGTCTTTTGAAGAATTAAAAGAAAACATTTGCGGAACATTTCCACGAGCACTTGTCTGGTGGTAATTGAAAATTTCCGGACCCGGTTACAGGAGTGTAAAAATAATAATGGTTCATATTTACAAGATGTCATATTTAAAAAAATTAAACCCTAGGTTATGTAGTTTCTTATAGAATAAACGTTTTTTTTAATAAAACAGCTAGTTTTATTTTTATAGCTATTTTAAAAGTTAACTCTCTTTTGGTCCAGCCTGTATAAGCCGTTGTCAAAAAAGTTGTTATGATTTATGTAGTAAATAGTAACTGAATATTATTATGACAATGTTCTTAATCAACATTTTTTACGTACAGCTCAAGATTCAACGACTTTCCTACTCCGACGCAAATGTCACTGGTGGTGTCACCCTTACTATGGTTATCAGCTATCCTCAATTATGTCTTATCACCAATATTCCGGTTTACAAGATTACAAACATCATTGGCTCCGACTCGGCAAAATATTTATCACTTGATAAATAAATACAGAGTAAGTAAAGTTACAATGATAAGAGCTTTATTACTGCTTTATACCTTCACACGGGATCCCTTGCAGATTAGGTAGAGAGAATCTAGAGCCATAAAACTCTCTTTGCAAATACCTTTGCCTTTTTGACGTTCATTGCTCTTTTTACAAAAGCTCGCCTTTTTATGACTTTTTAATGAAAATACGTTATGGAGCAGAGGCTTTTAAACAAAATAGTATAGACAATAGTATAGATATACAGGGCGTCCCACGTCTATGCCACATGAAGGAAAGTAACTTGAATATTGTAGATGGAACATTTTACAGAAAGAAGAAATTATTTTTATTTAAAAAAATAATTTAAACTGCATTAATAGATTTTTAAATAATTACATGGTTGAACCGGGAGTCGAACCTGCTACACCAGAAAAAAAAATACCCTGTAGCTTTATCATACCGATCAAAAGGCTTCATCATAAGGATTATTTTATGCTTAATAACATAGTGTCGGAAATAAAAGGGAGACTACGAATTTTAATATTTTTAAAACAAAATTAATCAAATGCACACTTTTTTGATTAAATAACTCCTTGTCAATTTTTTGATCTTGAAGATAATTAGAATAATACGTCTTAGTTCTGTTTATAGCTTGTCGACACTTTCATACTGGTGTTTGTAAACTAGTTTTCTTACATAACGCCATAAAAAAAATGTAACGGGGTTAGATCTGGGGATCTTGGCGGCCATCTTATTAGTCCCGATCCAGAGACGAAACTGTTCACTGAGATAGTCCCTTGTTCTGCGACTATTATGAGCCGGAGCCCCGTCTTGCTGAAAAGTAAGTTTTTGTCGTTCTGCAACTGGAAGATTATTTATCTCATTCTTAAAATCTCAAGTATTTCTAAATACTTTTCCATCTTCAAATACCCTCGGAAAAAATGTACTAAGAAGACCCGGTTGTTTACAATCCCACATCATCAATTGAACGAAAAACGCACTTGATTATTAGTCTCGCAGATACGTAAGGGATTCTCCCTGGACCAAATGCGATTATTGTGTCTGTCGTATATACACAAAAGAATTAGAGTTTAAAAATGAAACACATTTTTGAATTATTTCTTTATAGTTAGCCAGCTGCATTGATGTGGACAAAATAATTTACGCATCTTTCGACTCACAATATGGCTCACTTTGTTGCATACAATTAATTTTGTATTAAAAATGTTAAAATTCAAAGTCTTTCTTTTATTTCGGACACTGTTATTAATTAAGCATAAAATAATCCTTATGATGAAGCATAATTTTTTTTTCGTGCTGTGGGTTCGATTTCCATTTCAACTATGTAATTATTTAAAAATGAATGCAGTTTAAATTGGTTTTTAAAATAAATTGATGTCTTCTTTCAGTAAAAGGTTCCATCTACAATATTAAAGGTACTTTCTCTTCATGTGGTATAGTCGTGGGACGCTTTGTAGATGATTAATTAATATTAGGTATTATATTTTTTCAGCCTACTTTCTTCATTGTAACTCCGGCCGTAATAACATCACTGTTACATCGGAGTAACGGGGAGACGTGTGACATGACCTGTTTAGATCTGATCATGGTTGGGGGCAGTGCAGTCCCAAAAGGTCTTGTTGAAGAAGTTCGGGTAAAATAAAATTCAAAATTTCCTATAAAAAACATAAATTTCATTTAATGACTTATATTTGGTTTAAGCAATATACATAAATGAAAATTTGTACAGCGTAAAAGTATTTTTGCATATGGTAGCAGAGTGCGCAAAGCTGGGTGGAAGCGTCTTTTTGTCTTATGAAAGATGATAATGGTTAAATTTGGTTTACAAAAATCTTAGTATGTTATCTTTGAATATAGGACGAAAAACGTTTTTAATAATTGAACATTTTTTTCGTAACCAGTATGAATGGCTTTACATGACCTTAGAAGCATGGAGGAACTAGGATAAAATAATATTCGGTCACCCATCCACTGACCGGCTTTGCGAAAGTTCCTTAACGTCTGAAAATTTCTGCTGCAGATTGAACATACTAGCTATCGAGCTTCTCACGAAAAAGTAATAAATAGTATTTTTTTTTAGGAAATGGTACCCGGAACAGAGGTCGTAAACGCATACGGAATGACAGAAATGTCAATGATTGCATTCCATTGCGACGATCCTCCGACTGGATCCTGTGGAAAGCGCATGGGATGCCTTCAATATCGTGTAAATATGCACTAATCTAACAACTATTATATATTACATAAATTTTTCATTCATAATTTTTACACTCACAATTCTAATATATTATGTGGTAGCCAGATCGTAGAAATTAATAATTTCATGCAGCCGGTCTTTTCAAGAAACGACAGTTTTTCATGTCACGGCCACAAACCACATTTGGCCATATTATTAATGTTATATAATTTCACATTATCCTATTAAGTGAAGTGACTATAGCAACACGACAAAAGATATTAACTTGAGAAGTTTCAAAGTAAAAGTATCACATACTATACATTATAGCTAAATACTAGTAACAAAACTTCTAGATAAGTTTATGGAGAAAAAAACAGTAAACACTTTTCGGCAATTAAAAGATCTTCTGAACGTCAATTATAGGTTGGTCAAAACGGTATAAACAAAATGAAAACTTATTCGTGGAATTTTCATTTTCCAGATAATTAATACTGAAACAAATGAAGACATATTGGAGCCTCATGTGTCTGGAGAACTGTGGGTTAGAGGACCCGGTGTTTTCAAAGTGAGTCTTGTAATTTAATGTTGAATGATAAAATTAAATACAGTGTCCAACATGTTTTGAACATGATATTCGAGTCATTTAAATAATCTGATATAGAAAAGCTTTTAGCTTTTACGTTGAAGTAAATACAATGTATGGATCGATTAGAAATCAATTATAAATTAGATGCATGAGATGAGTGTTTTATGTGGATGTTCTATAGTAGCTATTTATATTAAGTAAATCAATACCAATATTTCAAAGAGGAGAGTCTTGACTATTTTTTGAATTAAATAGGATCCGAAAAATATTTTTCTTAAAATTATTCCCTAACTAGTGAAGGTCGACAGTCAGCTCTCCTACTTCGTTCTATCCTGAGCAAGATAAAGAAATTCGAAAGAAAACGCCAATGATACCGGTCCATTCTCAAAAATTGCTCAACCAGAACTTTTCCTGTGACCAGGTATTATATTATATTGTATAAGACGGGTATTAACGCGATAGGTTTTTCACCTAGCTATATTTCCCGACTTTTCGACCAGGTCACACCGGATTTCGTTTCTGTTATATCTGTATCCCAGATATTTCAATTTTGAACTCTATAGTTTCCTTACTTTAAATCTTGATAGTTGCCCGCTGGTAATGTAGATACGTATTTTCTAATGTAATCCTATCGTTGAGAAGTTTTATCAGATGACCATTCTGCATTTGGTCCAAAATCTTCTCATAGTCTACAAAACATAGAAAGACTTCTCGCTGTGAGTTTTTACATTTTGCACCAGAAGCTGTACCGCAAATGTCTCTCTCATGCCCACTCCTGCTCGGATTCCAAATCGACTGTTACTTACTATTTTATCGACCTTGTTTTTTATTTTCATGAATTACCGACAGAAAAAGCTTTAGTATTTGGCTTCACAACACTACAGGAAACTACATCATACGCGGGTGATATAGGATATACCTAATTTACGCGGTTAAGAGTGGTTAAACAGTCAGTTTAATATAGTAGCACAAATATATTTCAAGATATCTCCTGCGCTGCTACCCATAGTCCCAGAGCTATTTACCCAGCGATATGTCTATTTTGATGTCCTATTGATAGCTCGTAGTATTTGGTATATTTACTAAATGCACAGATTTGTTAAGATATAATTTACGCTATCACTTTTTATCCGGTGACTTTTATATTTTAATGTCAATAATCAGCATGGACTCCAACACCATCCAATTGATTCAACCCTTACTTAGAGAAATTGGGTAAAATGTGGGTAGCAGGTAAGTATCCGAAAACAAAGTTAATTTTTAGGTCAGCGCCTCACTTCATTACGGCACGGGTGCGAGCGATGCCAATCGTCGAATCCACCTCACGTTTCTGTAATTTATTTATTTAATCTAAATTGCCTAGTGAAATAGATCTATCTATATTCTAGAGATTTGGAAACAACCTGCATTTTATCTTTACAACATGACTCTGTTAATTGTAATAATCAATTACTATTTATTGTGTTGAAGAATCAGATTAATTTATAGACTGGGCGTACATAGTTAATCTTTTGTTACAGGGATATTATAATGACCCTAAATCGACTGAACGATCATTCGCTGAGGGTGGCTGGTTCAAAACTGGGGACATATTCTACAGAGACGAGAACTGGAATTATTACCCTGTCGAGAGAATCAAGTCTATACTCAAATACAAAAGTTACCAGGTAGGAATTATTTAATTTGAAAATATGATCGTTTTCAATTCTCTTTTCGTTCATACAATTCTTTTTGACTTGTGAAACGTTAATAACTTAAGTTAATGACAATAACTAGTTGAGATTTTGTTCTTTGATCAATTTAGGTACCGGCTGTTAAAGTATCTTCGTGACATATTTCGCAGCGTTTAATATATAATAAAAACTAAAAAGTTATTATACTTTGTCAATACATTTCCAATTTTATGCACAATGTAACTTTTAATCTGTTCAGCCCTGTGATTTTGTAAAAATCCAAACCTAAATTCGGATTCCCTATGTCATTCACTCAGGTCGGCCACCTGAGTGAATTCTAATTCGGGTTCAAAAAGTGGCATCCGATGAACCTTGAATTGGTAATAACGTTTCGTAGCATAAGTTAAGTGAATTTCGAAATGACATAGGGATAGAATATCCGAGACACGTGTATTCAATCAATATTGTTTCGTATTTTTATACAACAAATGGAATCAGTGGAATTTTTACACTAAATGACGGGAATTTGGACACATGACTGAATTCGAATTCTAGTCTGGATATTTATAGAATCTCAAGGCAAGCTTAAAGTATTAAGGCTATTTTATTTACACTATTTTTAATGAGAACGTAATTCGTATTTTACTCTTTAACCATCCATTAGGAAGACCCGAGCCCCTGCAGTGGGGACATAAAAGGGCAGATGATGATGAAAACAGTTTTACTGATATATGTACTATAATTGCATTTTTACCCACAGATAGCTCCAGTTGAAATAGAAGGTGTGATTCGTCAACTTCCAGGAGTTTTTGATGTAGCCGTGACAGGGATTCCGGATGAGTATGGTGACGACTTGCCGTGTGCTTGTGTAATCAAACGGCCTGGCCACAATATCACTGCGCAAGAAATTAAAGATTTAGTAAAAGGTTATTCTTCATTATGAACTGCCATCTGTCCATCAGCATCCTATGAAAACGTGAAACTGTTGGTCCTGCATATTACTTTTCTGGCCATACGATGTCTGTCAATTATGTGACATGAAAATAGCCTTAAATAAGAATAATAATTGGTAGTAATAATCAGAATGATGGTTTTTTGCAGGATTGCTACCATATACCTTGTTTTTGTTCAGTTTCCAATATTATGACACTCAAGAATTGGCATTAATTTAAATTAATTCTATTGAGATGTAATTATTACGTCAAAATTATCAGAATCGATGCACAGCTTCAAGCAGGCGGAGCCATTGGCGGAAAGCTAGTGCCTTATATTTATTTATTTAATATATGTTTCAGAATCCCTGGCTGATGTGAAACATCTAAGTGGTGGCGTGATCTTCTTAGACGAGTTACCGTTGACGCCTTCTGCAAAAGTAAACAGAAAAAAACTCAAGGAAATTGTCCTTGAAATGGATAGACTATAAAGTTACATTCTCAGTGATAGTTGCCATCTTGACTCTATTCCGTCGAATCATATGAAAAAATGTGCATAAAAGAACATCTTTCATTTACAGAGCCAAATTATGGTAGAATAGCCAATATTATATACACCTATTTACTAATGAAATTTCCCTATCACGGCACTTGTATAATCCTGTAAAGTGTTTTGAATTACATAATTATAATTTTTATAAATTGACTCATTTTATTATATTTGATCAGTTTCCCATTCACGATGCTATATTGAAAAATATTCTTAATGAAAAATGCTAACAAAAATCTTCTTGTACCCTGGCACCCTGAGATAGGATTCAAACTCATGACCTTTCACAATCCTGGCGACTGTTCTAACCACTGACCTACCCGGGACCTAACATGACTGAGGAATCTTTCAAGCACTTGTTACTTTTTTCGCTACCACAGAGCGTATTCTAATCAATGTTCAGAACATCTACCTAAACAGCCGAAAGAAACAGTTTTACAAATACCTATTTAAAATTTTGGTAAAGATGAAAATTTTGTTCTAATAAATTATATTTGATCAGTTTCGCATTCACAATGCTAAATTCAAAATTTTTTTAGTGGAAAATTGTGCCAGGGTCCAAGTGGATTTTTAAGCATGTTATAGATTCATTCATATGTACTTTAAACAAAAAAGCAGTCGCGTCATCTATATATAGTATAAAACAACGTTACTTCCCGCTGTCTCTACGCTGACGTCCTTTTAAACTACACAATGGATTATATTGCTGTTAACATCAATATACAAAGTGATTCAAGAGGAAGCTTTATAAGTATAATTCAGAATCAGCAGCATGCACCTTACAATATATTATTAGATATATTTATTACAACGACAAAGCAACTAACTTAACTCCCGTTCCAGTTAACGGATGGGAATCTTTTCATAACACTTTTTTATAGACTATATTTTTATAATAATAAGATGACACGGGTCTGACGCAGAACGTGCACTTCGCAAAATGTGCACTTGACAAAAAATGCGCTTTTCGCATTTGGTGCACTTCTCAAAATGGGCACTTCGCAGAATGAGCATTTCGCAGAATGAGCATTTCGCAAAATGAGCACTTCGCAGAATGAGCACTTCGCGGAATGAGCACTTTTTGTGGAAGTTTTTAATTGATAAAAAGAACTGGGTACTGCGTATTTAAAATTCTAGAAATATAATTATTTGCTGAAATAGCTTGTTTATTCGCTAGAGTTATGATTTTGTGGTCTGAAAAAAAAAAACAACATCGAAATTTAATAAGATAGCTACGCTTCGCTTAGTCATCATCACCAGCCCTTTTACGTCCCTACTGCAGGGGCTCAGGCCTTCCTTATGGATGGTTAAGGTGGATGGGCCATGATCCTCCACGCCGGCTCAATGCGGATTGGAGTTTCTGAGATATGAACTTATGTTCAGTTCATATATCAAAAACTTTTATATCCTCCAATATATTTCTATCATCCTCTGGAGCTAGGTCACAATCCTGTCTTTATCATAACCTGAGATATATCCATAAAACTATACAAATAGCCTTTACTGCTGCACCTTCGTACTGCACTCCTATATTTATCTCACTAAACTTAAGTAATTGTTTTTTTTTGCTTATTCACCCTACTTCCTTTAATTTGTTGTATAACCTAAAAATTAATAGTACATTATGATATTAGTGCGTTATGATGGTTATAACATGCGAGGCGGAATTTCAGCCAGAGCCGAAGGTGAGGGCGTAATTGAGCCTCGCATGTTGTAACCAATACGCACGTATATCGTACGACGTTTTTTAACACATTTGCGAGGAAACAGAAAAAAAAAACATTAAATGAACTCAATCTGTGAATGTACACTGTTGCTTTCCCGCCATTTTAACAGCGTGCTAGCGCTGCCTACATGACTGGCAACAATGCGCGAAATAGCAAATAGTACTGTTATGGAATTTGTATGAACTATAACTTAACTATTTGCTTTGGTAACACACGCGTTTTTTATGACCCGCTTTACATATTTAAAACCGGTGGAATTACATCAGCTTTACGAGCAAAGGTGCTAAAAATAAATAATGTATCACAAAAATAATGAAACATCAGCGCCTCTTACTGAGATTTACGTAACTATTTTACGATATGATCACTTACTCTTGGCCACATCATGAAGAAGTCATACTATCAGCCGCCCATATCGTTAAACGCAAATCATTAATTGCTCTGGCAAGGTCACATCATGATGTGGGCAACAAGATTTTTCCATTTTATGAAATACAAACATTTCACTGGCCGCATCATGAATTGGTCAATTCTAAGGTGCTTACATAATATGAATGAACAAATGTAATAAAATAGGATATGTAAAAAATTATCAACTTGAAAATCTTAGGCTAAGACCTAGCAATACTTATCCTCAATAAATAATTATTAATGAAACGAAAAACACAAATAATTGCAATTTCTTTAATGTAAACTCGAACAACATTTTAATGTTTTTTATTTAAAGCCTGCTCAAAGTTCCTTGATCAAAATAATAGAGTGATTTAGAATATACTCGCCATCAGCTGGCTGAAAGAGTTATTCTAGGTAAATTTTAAGGCAAAAAAACTGCGATTAAGAATTCATTTAACGCCATCTAGTCCATAAATATACATATACCTATATATAAAATATAAATTTTTTTTTTCTTTCGTAAACAATATTAAACATTTTGTAAATAATATTAACGCTCATCTCGTTATATTTTCGTATGAAAAGTGATAAAATGGAACAAATCCACGTTGGTATAGACGCCGGCAGTGTTATTTTAAAGATAGTCTACCGATATGGACCATCTTTTTGGGCTTCGTAAAAGCCCCCTCTTATTTTATAGTATTTTATATATATATAAAATATAAATAATTTTTTTCTTTCGTAAAAAATATTAAACATTTTGTAAATAATGTTAGGTAAATTCATTACAATGACAAATCCGATTGTAAAGAATGGTTGCTATGGTAACATATTGATCCCCATAAAATCTTTCACTCCCATTAAATTCCAAGTGCTAGTTTTTGGGATAAATTATCACCTATTACCTCCCTAGGATCATAAACTACCCATATACTAATTTTCATCGACATAGATCCATAAACAAAGAAGTTTAATACAAAATGTTTCACCCTTTTGACACCCTTCGGGATGGAATTTCCAAAGATCCGTTCTTGGTACACCTCTACGTATTAAGGGAATGTTCCCTCCAAATTTCAACGACGTTTCTACTACCAGCGGTTTAGGCTGAGTGAAGCGTAGGGTTTTAGATGGGGGGTGAGAAGCACCCCGCAGGTTTCAGGTAAAAAGAATGAAACTAAAATAAAGTTTTAACAATCATTATCTTTATTCTCAGGGGGTAGGTAAAGATAATCGCTCGCTATGGCTCTTGTATCTGGAATTATGAGGGGAGGACTTAGCTTTAAGATAGTAAGGGGATTTAGTGACGAGTTATCAGCGTCACGGGCCGGGTAGAGGCTGGCAAGGGTGTAGAGCCGTCGTCAGCTCCGGTCAGCAGCACTGAATATCCACGAAGACTCAGGCACAACGCAGAGCAGCGTAAGGCAGGAGGACTCGGGTAGAAAACCCCGAACCCCGATTTCGGGGATATGTAGCACTAACTTACAAATTTGTAGAATCACTTAAAAATGAATGTATTGATTCGCGAGAAGTCATTTAAATACTATTTCACCACTATGAATGAACTGCGCTGCGCTCCCATGTCTGCCTACCTCCATAGTACAATTGTTAACATTGTACCTACAATTATTTTTCTTTAAATTAATTTATATGTCGGCGCATCAATTGTACCGCGATTATTCGATATTGATTCCTAAACGAAAGTGAATTAACAAAAGCAAATTGCCACCATTTTGGTAGACATTCTTTTGCGTATCGTCGAGGAGTAAAGACATCCGACGACATCACGCTGATCTCGTTATAGTTTTCGTATGAAAAGTAATAAAATGGAATAAGTCCACATTGGTATACACGCCTGCAGTGTTATTTTAAAGATAGTCCTTCGATATGGACGATCTATTTGGGCTTCGTAATAGCCCCTTGAGACTACTCGCCTACATATATTAAAAAGTAAAAAGGAAATAAGCACATCAGCTAAACATTCAAAAGAAGGACAGTTTATTAAGTAAACTGTTACATGTGCGTTGTCTGTCAGTCAGTAATCAGGACATCTCTTTTTATATACGAGTATGTATAGATTATAAAGAGGTAAGATTGCATTGCATTTTGAAATTTCTTTCATATACGGGATGCTACATAATACGCGGGGAATACAGGCTCTAACTTACGCAGATGAAGTCGCGGGGAAACCTAAATAAAAATAGGCTGCTGAATTCTAGAAGAAATCGAAGAATATACCTCATATACCTACTTTTATAAAAAATATACATACTCTTTGAATATAGAAAATACTTCTTTCGAATTTCGAATGAATGCAAAATATGCATTCAGCTCAATCTTTATTCCAGCTCAAAAACATATTTTTAACCGAAATAAACATATCATCTAAATTTAGATATAAATATTTAGATGATGTCTGATGAAAAGCTTATTTAGTTTTGTTATGAAAGGAAAACTGCTGATTTAATTTCGATAAAATTTAAATGGGATCATTTCGGTCCATTAAGCTGTCGAATAACAAAAAGAATTTTGAAAATCAGTCAACAATTGGCGGAAATGCCGATGAACGTACATTTCCGTCGAACATATAACCTCCTTCTTTTCCATTTTGAACTCGGTTAGCAAATTAAACTACAGAAAAAATTACGTAGAAGTGAATTTGAAATAAATCTCAAAAGACGCACAACAATTCGAGGTTTATTTAATTAGGTAATTTTAATACCTTATCAAAAAATGTTTATCGTCAAAGAAATAAAATGTAAATAAAAATTGTCTTTTAAACCAAATAATTGATTATGTAACGGTTTTTGAGAAAAGGAAACACTTTGCTTATTTGCCAGATATTTTCCCTATGTATCTATAAATATTCAATAGCAAATAGTTCTCGGTGACTTATATATTTTTAAGAATTTGTAGTAATTATGTTATTAGTTTTGAAATATAAAATATTGAAAGCAGTGATTACTAACAAGAAACAACTATTCAAACCGAGAATAGCAATCTCCATATACAAGAAATTGAACATATGTATTCATTTCTCACTCCACTTTTTCAACACAAATAACCAGTGTATGTAGCTCGCTGGCGTAGTAGATAAGCGCCGCGGCCCGCGATCGTTGTCGTTAAGCAACTTTCGCAAGGGTCGGTCACGGGATAGGTGACCAAAAAATTATTATCTCGAGTTACTCCGTGCTTCGGAAGGCACGTTAAACCGTTGGTCCCGGTTGCATTTGCAGTCGTTGATACCCTCCAATCCGCATTGGGCCAGCGTGGAGGGTCATGGCCCATCCTCCTTAACCATCCATAAGGAAGGCCTGAGCCCCTGCAGTGGGGACGTAAACGGGCTGATGATGATGATGATGAATAACCAGTATAGGCCTTATGTAATATTGGAACAGGATGAAAAAGATAAGTTGGACGGGACTTCAAGTGAAGGAATAAGTTCTATTGAGCGATTCTCAGTAGAACTTATTCCTCAACGAAGAGTGATGGCTAACGGTCTTTACATTGTATGTTTTATTTTTATTGATATTAGATGTGTTGAGGACGAAGATTAAATCTAATATTAAACAAAATGTAGTCAATTTAGTTACGGTGTAGGTTTGATAATTCACGTCACAACCTTTTTAAATGCAACAGAAAGTAGAAAGAATTGACTAATCCCATTTTATTGATATACCGATTTTATCTCAGATAAATAACGTTAACAACCGTAAAACAACGTGGCGTCACAAAATGAATATCATTAAGGATTTTTTTTTTTCGGTTCTGTGGAAATTTACATACAAACGTGTGAAAGAGATACACTCGCGTATCACTACGTTATCACTGCGTTATCTCTGCATTAACACTGCATTATCATAGCATATAAAAGTCGGAAGATTTTTTTTCAGTGTACAAAAAACGTGGAAATTTATAGTCTTCGCTTCAAATCCAAGTGATATTTTTGGTGTCATTAAATACGAGTGGTATGTATCATTGAATAATATGTTTGTAACATTGATATATTTTTTAATAATTAGAAATATTTTCACAGTTACTTACCAGTCATCTTTAACTGTGTAACGGTGCGTCGTACGACCGTTAATTTCGTCCTATGTATCGGCATGTAAACTTTTTGTCTTTGATCTTCAACTTCTTTTCTTTTTATTATTCACCTTTAGTTGTGACGGGGAGATGCTTGAGCAAATAAATAAAAGACTGACTAGGCTTTAAAACTTGATTTATTAGACGGTAATAAGAAAACCCTGTTTCTGGGTTTCTCGTAATAGATGAAACTTAGTAGATATTTAACGAAGATACGTTTACATGCTGAAGATTCTGATAGGAAAATAACGATTGTTGATTTCTTCCCGCCCTTTATGGTTGTATTATAATGTTACCATATGCTACCACAATAAAATTAACGCTTCCACAGAAAAATAAGCAAGAATTTCAATGAAGTAAGAACTGTTGATAGTTAGGATACTATTATTTTTAGTTACTAGCTGACCCGACAGACGTCATTATATTGTCAATTTTTTTTAGTTATGCTCTTGCTCTGTTATACACAGAAATTCTGCCAACATATTGAGAGAGACACGAGACTCTAGAGACTGAACGTTAGTTAGAATTAACAAGTTCTTCCTTGAGATTGTTCTGTCTCTAGTAAAAAAAGGACAACACAAAAGCAAACATCACCATAACTACGCTAGTTTTATAAATACATAAGAGAGGATTTTGTAACACTTGTTATAATTTGATATTATATTTTTTTATAAATTTGCAAAGACACAGAAATAAATAGAAGAGTGTTAATATTAACTGGACAAGGAGTTATTGCTGTTTTAATATTTGCAGCATGCATTCTGTCAAAAGTCATAAACGTTTTTATTGTATCTGTGTGTCGTATCTGTCCCGGTTAGGAAAAATCGTAGATCCGGGCTTGGTCTCAATCACATCTCAGAGTACCAGGGACAAAGTGGTTTTTTTTTAAAAAACATCCTGCTTGACAATTTTACTAATGTTTAGGTAATAATTGCACCTCAATAGTATCTTAACTACATGCATTTTGCCATTGTAATATGTACCTGAAGTCCAATATTTAGTTGAGATTCTATTGAGATGCTATTATTATGTGAAATCAGAATTGACCTGCAGGTTTAATTTTCGATCTGAAAACTACTTTTTTTTAATATTTATGAACAGCCAATGTTAAGAACAAAGAAGATGCCCAGGCTCGCCAACGATGCCGTCCATTGGTACATAGGAGAGCTAACGTCCAGAATAGTAGCAGAGTCAGGAATACCCAGTGATCGTTATCACTTAGGCAAAATACTATTGCAGAGTTTCAAAGATGCTCCAGATTTTCTACTGCAGGTGAGAAAAGTAGAAAGAACTAAATCATCACCAGCTATTAATAATCTAAATGCTGATTCAGACAGGTTCACATGATAAGGGTTATAGTAGGGTATATTGGTTGGATTACTAACGGCTTAACATGTCTTCCGAAGCTTGATGAGCTTGAGGCCAGAGACTGATGAAGTTGATTGATATATCGTAAATCAAAATTCAACTCTTGATTCCCATCAACATTTAAATTGTAGTGGTTATCGTAAATGGTGATAATCGAGCAGTGTTCGTTTGCACACCACAACAACCTTCTCAAACTTCAACAGAAGTATTGTTAAAAGTCTCTCCATATTATTTAAATAATTGTCATTACATCTATTCTATTAAAAAAAAGACGTTACAATTCGATAACTATACAACGCATTTAAGCTAATAAAAACTGAACGACCTCAAACAGACGCATTTGGGAAATATTTATTTCAGAGAATCGGTTGCTGCAATATAAGACTGACAGCGCAGAGCCGTTAGAAATAAGTGTCTCGTAAGATTATGGTGACAAAGTATTATTATTATTTCCCAAACAGATCGATGGGGCAAGAGATGACAAAGAAACCAATAAGTCAGTATTGGCGCGAACGGTGCGTTGCGCCAATGCAATGAAAGCAGCAGGACTCAAAATCGGAGATGTAGTAGTTATGATGGCACCTAACCATTTAGATCTGTCAATACCTTTTTATGCGGGATTCTGCATCGGTGCCGTTGGAGCCCCTATGGATAGAACTATGGGTGCCTGTGTGTACAATCATCTCTATCAGACTATATTTTACTGTGTACAGTATAAGTGTAGATATTAAGAAAGTTACTTTATAGTATAACTAGCTTTTCCCTACGATTTCGTCCGCGTGGCATAGTTACTTTGGGCAGCATTTCTAAAAACGCTATAACAAATATTTATTCATTATATCGTTTAAAATACTGGAATGTAAAGTTTCATGATTTTGATATTTTACAATGACGAACCCCGATACAAACTTTTATTCCTTATTTCAACTCTTTTCCCTATGTTCTATCTATATAAAATTATTAAACGATTCTCCTTGTCCCACATTATTTAGTATATTAAGAGATTATCAAACATTTACCTAAATAGAATAAGAACAATATAAATCAAGACTACTTGGTCAAATTTTAAAGTCACAGCTCTTTTTTTTTTCGAGTTTAAATTGAGGGGATTTTATGTGAACTATTGAAAAAACATTGAGGTTAATATCGTAGTCAATTCGCTAAAAGATCCATCCAATTAGGTGGCTAGCCCTAAAATAGAACAAAATAAATTATATCTATTTTTGAATGTTTATCGTCATCATTAGACATCTAATAGCAAAATACAAGACAAATCGGTAAGCAATTTATTTTTTAATTGACTTTTTTTTTTATTGCAGATGATCTCCGCATTGCATTTGACACCAGCAGACCAAAAGTGGTATTCTGTCAAAGCGATAAAGCGGCAGTTATTCAACTTGTTGTCAATGAACTGAAACTCGACACATTAGTAGTCACATTTGATAAATGCGAAAGTTTTTGTAGTTTCAATGAATTTCTTGAGCGTGGTACGAATGGTCTAAGTGATGACCAATTCAAGTAAGAAGAATACTTTAATACTTAAGAATATAAGGATTTATTTGAACATATCATAAACAAATGGATCGTTAAGAAAATAATATAATTCTGACAAAAATATTTGAAAATATTAAGTGGATACCTATTTATTTTGGCCTCTGCAATCTAGATGAGAAACTGTTGTAATAAATAATATATTGTCTCAGAAACAGTCAGTTTAATCTGTTATCGTTTTTCAATATATATTTATATTTGTTTGACTATACATTTAAATATTTTAGGCCTGCCGATTTCGATCCTGAACACACCGTGGCTTTATTAATCTCGACAAGCGGCACTAATGAATTTACCAAAATCTGCTGTGGTGACGCACAAAAATTTAGCTATAACTACACCTTATTTGTTGTAAGTATATTGCAGACTTCCAACGAAACATTTACTTATTAGTTTAATTCTTTTGACGCACAAAAACTGTTGCTATCATATACTGACAAATTGGGTAGTGGATATTGCGTAATGGATGCTTATTAATTTAAAATTTGCAAATTTAATTTTAAAGAATATGTTCTTAGCTTCGTTTACATATTTATTATATTCATTTATGATATGCAACATTCTATATAATTTCACTTGTTTTAAAATATTTGCTGACTATATTGTTCAGGAGCGGAGTAACAAGATTATAACTTTAATTTTAAGAGTTATCGGTAAATATAGGATATTTTGAACTTTGAACAATTTCCAAGTTCAATCAATATACTGATATCGAAATTTAGACCAAAACGTTCCGTTGTTTTGTGTATTTATAACTGATTAAATGATAAAATTTCCTACTCGAATTAATTTTTTTTAAGTCTTGCGTTATTAATAAGACGATAAAAAAGTACAGAAAAAGCCACAAGATAAAAATTTTTGGTCCCCAACCATATAGTCGACTTTTGCGAAAGTTGCTTAACAACCGTATCGCAGTCATTCATAACCACTGTGCCATCTCTTACTATATTTTAGATTTTAGGAAGTTCATAATATACCTCTCTACGTAATAAAAGGAATGTAACCTCCAAATTTCAAGTCTCCTACGGCCAGCGGTTTAGACTGTGCGTTGTCTATCAGTCAGTATGTCAGGACATCTTCTTTATATACATATATAGATTTGATGAATAATTCATTCATCAGGAAGGTCAGAAAAAAAAAGCAGCAGCAGTGTAACGTAAAAATGATTGATCGAAAAGTATCTAGTGAACATAGACACTATAATATTCAAGTAATAATTCAAAAATTACGTCTCAATAATGCGATTTAGTTTGCGCTACAAGAATTTGGTGACATTATCTGCCTTAATAAAAGTTTTACTTACTATTGTTAAAAAATAATCACAACGAAATTTCGAAGGAACCAACTGCAAATTCATTGATGATATATTCTTAAGACTTTACTATATGTTTGATTTTACATACAGTTCCAGATTTCACGAATTTCCTACTCCGACAAAAATGTCAATAATGGTGTCGCCGTTGCGATGGATGACAGCTATCATGAATTACCTCTTATAACCAATTTTTCGATTCACAAGATTGCAGATATCAATGGAACCGACGCGGAAACATATTTACCACTTGATCAATACATATAGGGTAAGTTAAGATACAATTGTATACTTTCATATTACATATTTCTTTATTCAATAACATATTTTCAGCCTATTTTCTTCATTGAAACCTTAGCCGTACTAATATCATTACTTGATTCAATGACAGAAAAATCTTAGACTGTTAAATTTCTAACAAAACTAGCATGATATTTTCTAATTTAGTATGATAAATATTAATATTTTTTTTCAGCCTACATTCTTTATGGTAACTCCAGCCATAATAACATTATTGCTATATCGGGATGATGGGGAGCATTGTGACATGACTTGTTTAGATCTGATCCTACTGGGAGGTAGTAGCGTCCCTAAAGGTTTTATCGAAAACGTTCAGGTAATAACAGAATACGGAATTTCTCATTCTAATTTGCATCGTGCGTTCAGTTATTTATATCGCTAATTGTTGATTATTAAAACTGGATTTGTTCAGGGTTGTGAATATGATAAAAATAAAGCTGTAATTTTATATTTTGATCATAGCCCTTATATTTTGATCATAATCCTTCGATTAACAGATTCTCCTTTACCTTATAATCACCAAGCCTTTATGGATGGAGCCGAATCCACTGTGCTAACGAGCTCCTCATAGAGCTTTAGCTTATGACAAAATATAATAAATCGAATTACTAGCTGTACAAAAGTTATGACTAATTACTTTTCTTATTACAGAAAGTGTTACCTGAAACAGAGGTTATAGACTCATTTGGAATGACAGAACTAACGATGAGTGCGTTCCATGGTGACGATCCCTCGGTAGGATCCTGTGGAAAGCGTATGGGATGTCATCAGTATCGTGTAAGTTGTAAAAACTCAATGGCGTATTAACACTAGTCGACTTTCTTCTTTTTATCGGTCGGTGTTTGTTTTTTGGACACTCGCCCGCCTACCAAATATGTCTGAGTATAATTACAAAACCTTTTCTCAATCTTAATACTCTTGGTAGAGTGGTCGTGGTCAACACCTAGTATATGTTAGCTCGGTGCTCGGTATCGGTGATTGTCCGCATGGTGTGGCCCCTTCTACTCTATCTTAGACGACGAGACGTTTTATGGGGTCTTGATATGTCTCCGAATAATGTTTGGGTGCTGACTCTGAGTTCTTGTATTATGCAGTAATTACAAAATCCCTGGATTGATTTCCAGAGTTTAAATTTGCACTATGTTTTACCTTTATCATACAATTTTAGCAATCAACAGAATGTTCTGAATGCCATCATGTCGCTAAAATTAGTGTCAATAAAATAATAATTTACTTGTGTAATTCTCTCCTTTTAGTTAGTCGATATTGAAACAAAAGAAGACATATTAGAACCTCATGTGCCCGGGGAACTCTGGGTTAAAGGGCCAGGTGTTTTTAAGGTAAGTTTTGTAGTTTAAAGTAAGATAATAATATTATTCTTGTGAAATTGTTTTGAACGCGTTTTTATTGCTATTAACCTTTTATCCGCAGTAAATACGACTCACGGGTCTTTTGATAATAATAAACACCAATTGTTATTTTAGATACAGGCCCATGAGATTCATGTTTAATCTGGTCGTAATTTTGGTAACCAGTGATGTTATATGTACTTATATTATATATGCTATGCTGTTTTCCAAGGCTCTTTGCCTGTAGGCACTCGCAGATCCTTAAGAGAAATTTAGTGGGCCCAGGAAATGCCTACTCGACAACGTTTTTAATTTTTGTATCATTATTCATTATTGCAAGACTTTACAATTAAATATATTGTTATTTGTAAGGCTTGAAACAAGTTTAACTGTCAAGTTAGGGATATTCGTTAGTTTTTCCTTGCATATACATGCCCTTAGCACTGGGCATATTAATCTCAGTAATACAAAAGTAGTAGCTGAAAATTTGATTCGCATTTATATTATTATTTATTTCAGGGATAATATAATGACCCTAAATCGACTAAGGAAGCATTCGCAGAGGGTGGCTGGTTCAAAACTGGGGACATATTCTACAGAGACGAAAAATTGAATTATTACCACGTCGAGAGAATGAAGTCTATACTCAAATATAAAGGTAACCAAGTAAGTATTCCTTAATTGAAAAATATGATTTTCTTTTATATTTGTTGGGGTGAAAACAATGCTTTGAATAATACCTATTATAGTTGAAATTTCCTACGAGTTGATGTAAAAATATAATCAAAAGTTATACAAAACGACGCGCAATTTTCGAAAAGAAATGAACGTTGTGAAAACAAACAACTATGTGAAGTGCCTTCTGTTTTGTAGCGGTGTCGAACGCACGCCGTCACTGTCTAGAGGTTCAGTCAACTAAACCTACTTCAAAAGGTTTTATTCTATAAAGCTCTTTGACGGCGCTAAGATGGCGTCGAGTTCAAGGCCGGTTTACCAGAATACGTAGCGTAGCAGTTCTTCCTGCTTGAGCCAGCGCCTTAAGGGACTTGTGTGGAGATATATTTAATGTTATTAAAAGTTTAAAAAAATCACTTTCACTAACATACCAATTTTCAAATTTAGATGTGGATATATTTAATGTTATTAAAAGTTTAAAAAAATCACTTTCACTAACATACCAATTTTCAAAAATTTATTAGTTGCTATATCACTTATAGATATCGCCTGCTGAAATAGAAGGTGCGATTCATCAACACCCGGGAGTTTTGTACGTAGCTGTGACAGGGGTTCCTGATAATGAGGATAACGAGTTGCCGACTGCTTGCGTGGTCCGCCGCCCTGGCCACAATGTCACAGCGCAGGAAATCAAAGATTTCGTAAAAGGTTATTTTTGTTACTATTAACATTTGGGTTTTTTTTTGGCACATCTGTTTAATAATCGTTGTCGTCTACTCTGTGGGTACGTAATCTGTGACATTTGTAATATAAACAATAATGCATTTGTGAGTCGTTCTTCGCCATTAAATCAGTTTTGAAGTAAACTCATACCTGTGAACACGTTTATTTATTTTACCGACCCTTTGTATAAATAAAGTCAGACAAGTTAACTTACCATTAAGTTAAATATCACCTTATTTACCAATAAATAAATATCCAAGTACGGAAAGTAGTGACCCCATACAATATGGTAAAGTTTTAAAGCGGCGTAGTCAGCGCAACTTTCCCAAGGCAATGTTTTCAATCTTTTGCGTGAGTGTTTAGTTGTTGGTAATAACATTTTTTATCTGAATGTCATATCATATGTCATTCAAGATGAAACAACTATGATCGCATTTTTATAAAAAATAAAATAACCCATATTTTTTTAGTTCAATTTTTGCAACCCATGTAGTGCTTACTCATGAGGAACTCGATAGTGCAGTGAGTTCGTTAGGCCTGCGATGCAGTGGCTAAACATAATTTGTAATGTCATCGGATGGATAAATAAAAATTTACCAAATAAAGTTCTTTCGTCCTTCGTAAAGCACGTCGAGCCGTTAAATCCGGCTGCATATGTAATGGATGATACCAATCCGCACTGGCCGCGCGTGATGTGTCATAGCCCATTCTCCCTATTCGATTTGATTCGATTGCATCTATAAGGAGGGTCTAAGCGCCAGCAGTGGGGACATAATAAGCTGATGATAGCTAATTTACCTCGGCGTGAGTAAATTACCCCCAGAGGGTCTCTATTTGCCCACGGAGAAACAAAAGTTCTTTTAATTTTGTTAAATTGATATCTGTGAAAATTACTCGTGCATCAGAGTCAATGTAAGGTCCCACCCCCGTTGTATTAATAGACTAGCTTCCCACCAGCGTCCCACCAGCGTCCCACCATCATGACGTGGATATAATTACAATGGCAAATTAAAATAGTTTGCAATCGTTACTATATTATAGTTTTCATTCCCTATACAAACTTCCACTCCCATTATCATTCCTTTATTTGCTGTTTTTCGGGATAAAATATAGCCCTTTTTTCACTACATATGATTTAGTTTCCCTTAGATGAAAGAATTTTTAAAATGCGTTGCAAACAAACAAACGATCAAATCTTTTCTCTTTATATTATTAGTAAAGACTTGTAGTCATAGTATATTTGCATCTGAGAAATAATGTAGAAGCAACAAGATTACTTAATGGAAAAGAAATCAAACTAGATGCTGTTATGAAGGTACAATCAACAACATGACAGGTTATACAAAACTATCAATTAGTCCAATTCAATTTTAAACCTTAATGCTTTATAAAAGAGTTTACAATAGATTGGGGAATTTCGACATAAATATTGTATTTTAATATTCAATTAATTTTTTTATGACATTCGTTCCGATATTATTTCTGCGGTTGTAAAAATTAAATTAGCTTCAAATATTTATAAATAAATCATGCTTCTTTTTGTAGCTCGTTGTCCAATAATAAAAATCTCTCTTAATTTGAGATCTGAGCGGCGCGGCGGTGTGTTTATGTCTCATATTTTTTTTCTATGTTTCAGAATTACTGGCTGACATAAAACATCTAAGGGGTGGCGTGATCTTCTTAGACGATTACCAATGACGTCTACTACAAAAGTGAATAGAAAAAGACTCAAGGAAATAGCCCTTGAAATGGAAAAACTATAAAATTACATACTTACTGATAGATAGATAGATAGATAGATAGATAGATAGAAGATAAATTCGGCATCCTATCTCTCCGTTCCATATCAAAGAACACTGGATATCAAAGAATACTTTATCAAATCTACTGTTCAATTAATTATCAATATTACTATTTTTTTCGTTCATGTGTATTTTATTTTTTGTTCTTATTGACGATAACCAGTTATTGTTTCACTTCCTTTAACTCTTTGTATGGTCAAAATTGGGTCACTTGCTATTATGGATCCCAGGTCCTTCCCCCCTCCAGAAGGTACTTACATTGCGATTTACCAGATAGGCCAGCCTCAATAAAGCCTTAAAAAAGGTCTGTTATGGGAGTGGCCATTATTGTAATTAGTAACACTTTTCTTTAAAAACCTGGGTGGGTTACGTTTAAGTTCCTATACTGGAATATAATATATTCACCACATTTCCTCACTTTCATCTCCAGTAAAATACCATTACTACGTACCGCAGCAATATTTCATCAAGTATGTCAAATACGTTTTGACCATGCACTTCGCGGTAGGTCCATTGTTCAAAGAGCGCTGATTTAAGGCTTATGGTGGTTAAAGAGCGCTGATTTCAGGCATAAGGTGGTTAAAAAGCGCTGATTTCAGGCGTAAGGTGGTCAAAGAGCGCTGATTTCTGGCATAAGGTTGTTGAAGAGCGCTGATTTAAAGCATAAAGTGCATTCTGTCATGTTAAACTTTCACGGTCACAAATATCAGATTGTTTGCTAAAAACGTAACGTAAAACGTAAGGGTATCGAACATAAAAGAACTTGAAAGCAAGTAGAATGATATGTCTGCAAATAACACCCACTCGCATGAACTTCAGTTACTCCATGATCATGGCGTTTATAACAGCACCGAAGTATCGGATGAGCAATTCCTTTTTAAGCAATCATTCTGATAACTCTATTACGTTAACAATACAAAGATAATTGACAAATTTAAAAGTCATTCTAACACGGCGAATTAACTACATGAGATGGAAACACGTGTATGTTGTTAATTTGATAATATAACATAATCTTATCATGTAAGTAATAGTAAAGTATTTATTATAGTGATACAGAAATGTGTGGATGACAATGATGTATTAAAAAGTTTGGATGAGTTATCTGCGCATAACATTAAATACAAAAAGCAAGGCAATAGGGATGATGACTGGGTAAACAAAATGCAATTCTATTTAGTCCGTCAGTCAGATAATAGAAAAATATTAAATACGTATTGTTTTTACTTCAATTTAACAAGAAATAGTATAGATAACAGGCATTAAAGTTGAGGAGTGGGGGCTCGCTACGTCACAGTTGAGGAGAAAACGTACTCTAACGTGACGTCATGCGAAATTTCAACTCAATATAACACCGTAATTTTATGATTACGAAAAAAATAAAAAAATACGTGTTTAATATTTTTTAACACTCTACCTGACGGACAAACAAACAAAAATTAGTCATCATCCCTATTGCTAAAGTTTCATTTTAGTCACGTTTCAGTAAGCCATGTCATTAATGTTATTTATATACTGGTAATTTTGTCTGTAAAAAGTTATAGAAAAAATACTTTCCTACGTAATAATGTACAAATTACACATCGACAATGAGAAAAACGAAAAAGATAACTTATTTCATGCGTATGTACTTTACTTACTCTTTTTTATTGTAATAAAATAATAAAATGTCATTGGAACGCGGCCATTTTTTCTTCAATCGTGTTCTATTAGGATGCAGCACACAAAACAGCAGTTGACACGTAAAGCTAAGCGAGTATGTTTATCTCGTTCTAATAAGAGGTGTACTGAAGATTATGATAAATAGATAAATATTTCTTTTCTTCACGCCAGTTGTCGTAACTAACTCGTTTCGTATCTTTATAGTTCTTTGTATGCTTATCACTAATGATGTTCATATCGATTAGCATTTGGTTTTATTCACTCTGTCCATTCTGTAGCTGTGGACCTCAAATTTTTTTTCCTGTAATCATTAAAATTCTGTAATATAAATATATCCAAACCTATACGAACTTTCATCTTATATTTTTGCCTACTTACAATAATGTAAGACCTTACCTGCAGCTTCTTAATTTTTTATTATTCTTTTAAAATTAATGATATAAAAGTACAATTTATCGCCAATTTTAATAGTTTTGACAGATTTGACATAGATGTTTTCTTCGTTGTCATGGTGACATCTAATACTCCTTATGAAAATTGACTCACAGTTTGTAATTTTTAGTTATTCAACCTCTATAGTTCTTTTGGATTTTTTGTGTTCTAAATTGAAATCGTTCGCATCAGAATTTGAGCTAATCTTCGGGTATGTAAAGTTTTGCCCGTGTATTTCTTGGATGATTTCAACGGCAACAGTTACCTAAGCTAGCTTTTTGAGCTGGTCGAATTAAATATTTCATTAGAGTTACCCTACCTAAGCTAGCTTTTTGAGCTGGTCGAATTAAATATTTAATTGGAGTTACCCTCTTTATATTCTGTAGTTAGTCTACCCCCGTTTCATAACACAGTTGTTTCGTTACCTTTTAAATGTAAATAAACAAACTATCAAATATTTCGTTATTGATATAACAGATAACGCACCAATTTTCAACTTTAATCAGAGCAGATGACTGAATTTGGCCACTGTTCACATTTAGGCTTTTCATGGGACTTCAAAGTGTTAGTTACTTCAAAGTGCACAGACAAATATAAGAATGATTATGTCCAAACTAATACCGTTGATACCTGTTATGTGACAAAGTTCAATCCTTTTTAATTCTTGAAATGGCCAAAACTGGATCCTAATCTTTTATTTATGAATCCTTTAAATATTATTACTTACTTTTGCATCTATATAAAGTGTAAAAGAGTCTTGAAGTTCGTATCCGCATTTGCAGATGTGAGCTATATTAAATTCGCACCCGTATACGATCTCAATAAATATACACGTACTACAATTTCCTGATGCGAAAATTACTACTTTTTTTATCGTGAGATCAAATTATCACATAATGCTTTGTAGTTGCCGCCTGCCAGTACTTTTGTTTTTAAACCGACCTCGAAAATAGAACCGGCTTCAAACTTTAAAAATATGATAAATAATACTTCACACGCAATGATTCACACACATAATGACAACTTGCAAGTGTTATACAACAGTCGGGCGCCTATCATTTCATTAATAACTTAGAGAAGACCAATTCAATAGCATTTTCTTGAATTTTGTGGCGGCGGCCATCTTGTATATAAAATTTTGTCATAGTAAACAGTATTCTACTACTCAGGCCCTTTTATTTGATGTCCGTATTGAAGGAGTCGTGAGAAATATGGAGGTAATCCAACATTTTTGGTGGCGGCCATCTTGGATTTGAAATTTGTCATAGTGTTCAGTATTCTACTACTCAAGCCCTCGTATTTGATACCCATATTGATGGAATGGTGATAAAATATGTAATCCGACATTTTGTGGCGGCGGCCATCTTGGATCGATTTTCATCAAAGTGGAGAACACTCCCGACTAATACACCTTTCAAACAAAATCAAAATCGGTTCATCCATTAGGGAACTATGATGCCACAAAAAGACACACCACACACACCACACACACACACACACACACACAGACATGTCAAACTTATAACACCGCGTCGTTTTTGCGTCGGGGATTAAAAATTCCATGGTTTGGAAACGTTTCTTCAACAAAAGGAAAACTTGGATTTGTCAATATTTATTATTATCGCTCAGTTGGAGCTGCCAGTTACAGATTATTTGTGAACATTTATATTTTGTAGAAGGATATCTACTAAGTATATCAAAATCTTCATAAATAAGTAAGCAGTCGTAAACGTTGACGGCAGTCGCAATTGGTACCTGCGACTTGTTACAGTGATAAATGTTGATTGTACAATCTTTACTAAATTTATAATTGGTAAGACTTTTATTAGTTTATTAATCTGTTACAACAAATGGTTATTTAATTTAATGATGATTACCTAATTAATCACTTTGAGCTTACTACTTTTAGTGGATACTAGAAAATTATTACTAGAAAAACATAGTTATCGTTGAAGTTTTCTCCAAGAAAACGACTTAAATCACTTAATTATATATTAATTTTTATTATTGTAGACAAGCTTTAATCTATTCAAAAGATTTAACATTATTAGACTTTCACTTTTTGCAAACCTCTAGGGTTCCATTGTTAATAAAATATAATTTTAATTATCTAGAATAGAAACTTAAATGCGTTTTCTTTTTTCCTTTCTTTCTTCGATAAAAGTATTCTTTAATTTTTCTAAAGCAGGTGACCTCCGATTAGATAAAGTATCCGAAGTTGGGTATCCCGTTCATTACAATCAAGCTGCACACGAATTATTCAAGCATTTGGTGACTACATTGCTGTGTAACAAAATAAGATGAAAGAAATAACAAAGAAAGACAATTCAAGGTGCCTATTTCATTACTTTCTTGACAATAGTTACTTCGAATCTGGAGCTATATCTATGTTGTCAACTATTTATTTGTGATTGTTATTAGGACAATGAAAATGCCAAGGGTCGCCAATGATGCCGTCCTTTGGTTTTTGGGAGAACTGACTTCTAGAATAGTGGCAGAATCGGGAATACCTAGTGATAGATATCACATGGGCAAAATTATACTGCAGAGCCTCAAAGATGCTCCAGATTTTCTGATGCAGGTAAGATTAGAACATAAGATAGAAACAAACAATGGATATTTCCATTTCTAAATTCGTATATTTTGTGGTATTACTGTCCATGTGGAAGGAAAGCTATGGAATATCTCTAAGGCAATACAATGTTATTTCCACGTTACAATTGTTTCGAAAAATAGATGCTTATGTAATGAATTTTGATAAAGATACAATGTCTTTATTATTTCCAATTGGCTATACGAGGGTCAAACTGAAAGTTCTTAGAACTGGCCACTTATAAACAATATAATAAAAAAATAATTCTAAAATTTGAAAATATAACTCTTTGCCAATATTACTGAGTATATATTTCATTCATTTGTCATTTGTTTTACGATTTGGCGGCAAATTGAAAATTGTCTGTGTCACGTCATCATGAATTTAACACGAGAAAATTTTCGTGCAATGATTTTTTATGACTTTCGATGTCATTTAAGTCAACAAGAAAGTTATGATAGACTACGATTGGCCTTTCACGATGAAGCCCCATCTCGTGCGACTGTTTACAACTGGTTTAATGAGTTTAAACGTGGTCGCACTAATCTCACTGATGATTTACGTGAGGGACGGCCTTCTACGGCGACGACTGAAGATAACATCTGTGTTGTGCGGCGTATGATAGAGACTGACAAAAGAGTGACCTATCAACAGATTCGGACAAGCTTAGGCATCGGTATGAGTCAAGTGCACAAAATCCTCCACGAACATTTAGCGGTCAGGAAGCTTTGCGCCCGGTGGATACCTCATAATTTGACTGAGGCTCAAAAACTCCATCGTGTGGATTGGTGTCGTAAAATGATTGAAAGATTTAACGGAGGTGACTCAAATGCTGTGTTCGACATACTAACAGGTGACGAAAGCTGGATTTACTGTTATGATCCTAAAACCAAAAGACAATCTGCTCAGTGGGTGTTTCCTTTCGAGGAGTTGCCAACTAAAGCGAAGAGAGATCGAAGTGCGGGAAAAAAAATGGTGGCCTCGTTCTTTGGAAGGATAGGTCATTTTGCAACAATTGTGTTAGAGGATCAAAAAACAGTTTCTGCAGAATGGTACACTACCAATTGTTTGCCACTTGTCTTGGAAAAAGTTCGAGAGAAACGACCTCGCAGTAGGATCCTCCTTCACTACGACAACGCCTCGTCGCACACCGCCAAGCGAACGATCGACTATTTGGCGACATCAAACGTTGAATTACTGGGTCACCCGCCGTATAGCCCCGACCTCGCGCCTTGTGATTTTTATTTATTTCCAAAAATTAAAGAAAAACTTAAAGGAAAGCGGTTTATGAATGCTGAAGAAGCGGTGGCTGCGTATCGCGATGCCATTGAAGAGACCCCTAAGGACGAGTGGGCAAAGTGCTTTTCCCAGTGGTTCCATCGCATGCAGCGGTGTATTGACGTGAATGGACAATATTTTGAAAAGATATAATAAAACTAATAACTGGCTAATGTAATCAGTTTTTGATTTTCTAAGAACTTTCAGTTTGACCCTCGTATAGGCCTATTTGCTTTCAGAAATTGATAATTATTTTTATTTTTTGGTTACTAAACACAGAAAAATAAAAGAAAATAATGTAAGTATGAAATACTCAAAGGTATATAAATTTGCATACACCACTGTAACTATTGGAAATTTGGATTATTTTTTCTCTTTAAGATAGATGGAGCCAGAGATGACAAAGAAACCAATAAGTCAGCATTAGAGCGAACGGTGCGTTGCGCCTATGCAATGAAAGCAGCAGGACTTAAAATCGGAGATGTAGTAGCTCTGATGGCGCCTAATCATATAGATCTTGCTATACCTTTTTACGCAGGTTTCTACATCGGTGCTGTTGGAGCCTCTATGGATAGGACTATGGATGCCTGTATGTACAATTATCTTTTTACAAACTTTTATTTAATTGGTCTTGTTATAATTTAGGTGGGTGAAATCTTGCACTACCAATTTTCGAGTAAACGTAAATTTTGAGTGTTTGGATAACTTCAACGACGATTCAATATTATTATGGAATGGGACTGGATCTGTTGATGGAGCCGAAAGGTAGTCTTGCGATCTTGGCAATTAAACAAAGCAACAATTCGTATTCTAGATCATTTGATTTGTTTTGAAGAGGACTTTGATCCGGAATAATACCCAAGATTTAATGATGTATCTGCAAGATGACCATGAGAACTTTGTAATTGAACATGAGCTCCTCGAGTTTGGGATTCTGATTTTATACTCTGTTTCAATATAATATCTAACAGAAGTCTTTTACGGTATATACCTCTGGTCGAATTGGACTTGTGAACTCGAACGTATTTCTCTTGAAATATTTTGACTGATAGGTATTTTAGTTAGATAATAAACACATAATAGTTATTATTACATAAAGATAATAATATGATTAAGCAATTAAAGATAATAAAACACGTACGCGCGCTTATCAAACTTATTAAAAAATATTGTTATACTCGAATGGGCTAAGTATTTCGCGAAACATAATGTCAATTTTATGAATGAGAAATGAGTTCTTTATAGTCTAATGGTTTTCTTTTTCATTAGGACGTGACTCCGCTGTCTTTTGTTTGCAATTAGTCTTTGTCATTTCAGATGATCTCCGCATTGCATTTAATGTTAACAAACCAAGAATGGTATTTTGTCAAAGCGAAAAAGCGCCGGTTGTTCAATCCGTTGTTAATGAATTGAAACTTGATACGCTAATAGTAACATTTGATAAAAGCGATGACTTTTGTAGCTTCAATGAATTCCTTGAGCGTGGTATGGACGGTCCAAGCGTAGAAGAATTCAGGTACGATGATTAAGACTGTTTATAATTGTACATAACGTCAATAGATATTAATAGTGAAATATAACTATACCATATATAGCTATAGTGAAATCGAATTAATGAAAAAGGACAAACCAAAAATTAAAAAAAAAGAATATTTATAATACTAATATGAATAAAGTATTAACATTAATGTATACGTTATGGTTCATAATTTGTTGATGGTTTACTTATTTAATTCGTACTCTGTTTTAATTAACATATCAAGTATTTGTTTCGTTTGGTTTTAGACCTACCGATTTTGACCCTGAAAAAACCGTTGCTTTATTAATTTGTACGAGTGGCACTACTGGTTTACCGAAATCTGCTGTGGTCGTGCACAAAAATTTAGCAATAACTGCACCTTATATGTTGTAAGTATGTTACAGGTAATTAATGAAAAATCTATAATTCAATTGAAATATTTATTATTCAAATATAGACTTTATCAATTGTTAAGGGTTCAGAGCCTTCTAATTTAATTAGCCATTATTATTTTTTTTATAAAACACTTGATACTTATAATACTTACTTATACTACTATACTTATAATACTAATCAAGAAAATAATTGAAAACTGATGGAAATGTACAGGGTGGACCAATAGAGTTAACCTTTAAAACGGCTGTTACTTCGGCGCGGGTGGGTTTAGCGGGGCGGGGAGAGTACCAAACGCAAGCACAGCCAATAGGGATTTAGTTTAGCGGAGCACAACGTGCGTGTGCGTGTGCGAGTTTTATTGAAATAACGATTCTGTGGCCGTAGCAAAGCGAAAGTTTTGTACTCATTACAATATACGCAATGCAAAACATGCTCCAAGTGTTCAAACTATACAGAAATGGGTACATAACTTCCAGGTGACGGCATCAACATTGAATAAACCACATTCCTGTCGACCCAAGAGAGTCTATTCGGGAGTAACCTAGACTATCGACGCGTAAAAGAGCTAAGAGAGTAATGTTTTGAATTTCGCCTAGAACATCTCTAAATCGCATTTTACACAAGGACCTACATCTACAACCCTATAAAATTCAGATTGTACAGGCTTTGAAGCCCAGTGACCACGCTCAGAGGCTTAAATTTGGTGACGAAATGTTGGAGAAGTTTTCGAGCTTCGATAACATTTTATTCTCAGATGAAGCACATTTTCATCTGAACGTCAATCGACAAAATTGTAGGTACTGGAGTGACACCAAGCCAAAATTAAAACACGAAAAACCATTACACTCGCCCGAAGTCACTGTATGGACAGCATAATCAGCTAGAGGAATTATCGGTCCTTAGTTTTACGAAGATGAGAGAGGTCGTCCCCTCATAGTTAACACAGAGCGATACGTTGCAATGATGCTGAGCTTTTTTGTACCAGCGTTACAGGACTTCTCTAACTTCAATCAAAGAAGCTGGTTTCAACAAGACGGGGCAACATACCACACCTCAAATGACTCCTTGGCAGCAATTCGTAAAATTTTCGGTAATAAATTGATATCCAAGAGAAGTGACATTAACTGGCCACCCCGCAGCCCAGATTTGTCCCCAATGGACTTTTTCCTTTGGAGATATCTTAAAAGTAAAGTATACATAAACAACACAGTCTATTGAAGAATTAAAAGAAAACATTTGCAATGAGATGCGGAACATTTACACGAGCACTTGTCTGGCGGTAATTGAAAATTTCCGGACCCGGTTACAGAAGTGTAAAAATAATAATGGTTCACATTTACAAGATGTCATATTTAAAAAATAAAACCCTAAGTTATGTAGTTTCTTATAGAATAAACGTTTTTTTAATAAAGCAGCTAGTTTTATTTTTATAGTTATTTTAAAAGTTAACTCTCTATTGGTCCAACCTGTATTAGCCGTTGTAAATAAAGTTGTTATGATTTATGTAGTAAATAGTAACTGAATATTATTATGACAATGTTCTTAATCAACATTTTTTTACGTACAGCTCAAGATTCAACGACTTTCCTACTCCGACGCAAATGTCACTGGTGGTGTCACCCTTAATTTGGTTATCAGCTATCCTCAATTATGTCTTATCACCAATATTCCGGTTTACAAGATTACAAACATCATTGGCTCCGACTCGGCAAAATATTTATCACTTGATAAATAAATACAGAGTAAGTAAAGTTACAATGATAAGAGCTCTATTACTGCTTTATACCTTCACACGGGATCCCTTGCAGATTAGGTAGAGAGAATCTAGAGCCATAAAACTCTCTTTGCAAATACCTTTGCCTTTTTGACGTTCATTGCTCTTTTTATAAAAGCTCGCCTTTTTATGACTTTTTAATGAAAATACGTTATGGAGCAGAGGCTTTTAAACAAAATAGTATAGACAATAGTATAGATATACAGGGCGTCCCACGTCTATGCCACATGAAGGAAAGTAACTTGTATCAAAAGGCTTCATCATAAGGATATTTTATGCTAAATAACATAGTGTCTGAGATAAAAGGGAGACTATGAATTTTAATATTTTTAATACAAAATTAAATGTGTGTTAACGGAAATGTATGTAATTCCTAAAACCGCACGGAAATGTGTGAAATAAATTATTTTTACTTACACATTACACATTTCCTAGGAAATCTATACATTTCCTAAATAACAATCGGAAATGTAAAATATGTAAGATATTGGTAGGTACGCGGGGATAGCGGGACGAGGGGTGTTCACGCGGGGATAGAGGGGAGAGGGGTATTGGATCCGGCGCCGCCGGCGATCGCATCGCGCGCGCGCAGTGCCGCCCGCCCCGCAGTGCCTTGTAAACTGTCAGTTCATATGCCCGCTACGTCGCTATTGTACAAAAATGGCTGCCGAATCACGCATCGCGCTTATGAAAGAGCGATTTTATAGGACTTTGGCGTCATAAAAAAATTTAACAAACGCTAAAAACACTGCTTTTATTGAAGATGAACGTTACAAAGAGTTAATTGAAGAAGTTTCTACGGCAAAAACATCTGCTAGAAAGACTTCTCGTGATTCTTTGTTGTTGCGGCGATACGACGTGCTTACCAGAACAGTAAGCTTATTTTTCCTATTAAAGAAACTACAAGCACTATTATTTACTATGCATGTGATAGCGAGTTATTCGACATATTACATGAGGCTCATATTCGAATTGGTCACGGCGGAAGAGATCACATGATGAAAGAGGTATGGAGTCACTGCAAAAACATAACACGTAAGGATATTGAAACGTATCTTGAACTTTGTGAACCATGTCAACAAAAGCAAAAAAAACATAAAAAAAGGCATCGTTGTGAAACCTATTATATCCTCAGAGTTTAATTCTAGGTGCCAAGTGGATCTGATAGATTTTCAGTCCCAGCCCGATGGTGATAACAAATTTATAATGGTGTATCAAGATCATCTAACAAAATTTGTTGTATTACGGGCACTTAAAACAAAACGAGCTGAGGAAGTGGCTCACACTTTATTGGACATATTTACTCTACTTGGTGCCCCTGTAATTCTTCAATCTGACAACGGCAGAGAATTTTCAAACCGAATTATTGACAATTTAAAAACATATTTCGTTTTAAAAACATGGTTCGATTCCCGGTCGGGTCAATGTAGAAAATGAACTTTTATTTATTGTCTCGGGTCTGGGTGTTGTGGTACCTTCGTTGTCTCAGATACTCCATAATACGGGGGCTTTAGCTACTCATCTTGGAATCTGAGCAATGTATGTGATGTTGTTAAATATTTATTTATTTATACACCATTTACATCATTTATTATAAAGAATTATTATTATTATAAAGAATATTGGCCTACTTTAAAAATAATTCATGGGAAACCCAGGCATTCGCAAAGTCAGGGGAGTGTGGAAAGAGCGAATCAGGATATTGAAAATATGCTAACCACGTGGATGCAAGATAATGACAATTCACATTGGAGTGAGGGTTTGAGATTTGTCCAACTAATGAAAAACAGAGCTTTTCATGCTGGTATCAAGCAATCTCCGTATGAGGCTCTTTTTCGGTGTAAAGTAAAAGTTAGTTTACAGTTACCCAATGATTTCACGCAAAATGTTGAAACTGAAGAAGATTTGGAGAAAGTCATACAGGATCTTACCAAAAAGGAAGATCCCAAAGTCTCTGCACGTGAACACTCTAAGGTGAACACGGATTCAGAGGTAAGCTAAGTTTCTAACGACGTTTTAGATCAACGCGAAACACATACGCAATCTCCAAATTGCACCCTCCAATGCAGACCAGAAGAAACTACTGGAGCTCATACATGTAGAGAATGTGAATGTGCAATCCACGCTATTTGCGCTGTTGCTGAAGAATCACCCGATGAAGGATTTGGATCTAAAGTTTTGTGTCCAATATGTTCAAAAAAAGATAAAGTACTAGATAATCGTCAAAATGCTAAGAAAAACCTACAACAATAAGCCGAAAAAATGCTGAAATTGAGTGAAAAGAAGTTGGCCCCTGTACCTATTGGCGCTTCAGTACGAATTGCAGTTCTTGAGGTTGATAGAGGACGAGGTGATGCACGTAACATAATTGGTGTAGTTTTGACTAAAACCGATGATGAACTCTATCAGATTGGTACCAAGAATGGTATCTTAAAACAATTATATGCTCGATCTCAGATTAATGTGTGTCCAAGAGTTCTTCTTGATGCAGACGATGTACCGAGTACCGAGATTGCACTACGGTCAGTTGCCAACTTGCAATCCACTGGAACCGGCCAGGGATTTAAGAAGTGCCTTTGCAAGAAAAACTGTGCTACAGCAAGATGTCTGTGTTTTAAAAATAAAGTATTATGCACTTCCAAATGCCATTCGAGCTTACCCTGCAAAAATAAATAGCTATTATATGTACTGACAAAGTATTATATTATAATATAAAGATTATCTTTTATACTGTGACATTTATAATTTTTAATTATCAGACTAATTACTTGCCAAATAAAAATTTGATTTTAAAAGAATAAATATAAGTTGATTTTTTGATACGTTAAAAGTTAATAGATACTTAGTTGATTTTAGAAATGTTAATTAGTAAGATAATATGAACATATTATTATTATTTTTCGGTATGACTATTACCCGATTGTCTCAATAAGTGCTATAATAAAAAAAGTATTATTAACAACGTGTTTTATTACAGAAAGCATTTACTTTATACATTTCCTAATACGATATTGGAATTATATAAAATTCCGAGGAAGTTTATACAGTTCCTAGAATATGTATGCATTAAATAGTTTTTCAAACAAAAATCTATACATTTCATAAATAGTATCGGGATTATACACATTTCCTAGGATTTTTATACAGTTCCTTGATTTCATACATTTCCGTTAACATATGCAACAAATTGATAAATACATTAAGATTAATTTATGCACCGTGTATCTTTGTGATCAGAATAGGGGATTTTCCTTTACTGCTCAAGTACATGCTTACTTAGACAAACTTTATGATATTATATCTAATCACCCGGGTGAAAATTTTGTTGTTATGGGTGACTTCAACATGAGTTCCATTACGTGGACCGTGTCCAGTGGCACCGTTGTACCAGCAGCTCCTTCCCTGAATCTATATACCTACTTTATTGACACGCTTAGTCTTTGCTATTTGCATCAATATAACTTATGTCTAAATAAATACGACAAAATACTAGATCTTGTTTTGTCGAATGAATATGTGTCTGTTTCTGCATGTCACGACCCATTGGTACCAGAGGATGATTATCACCCAGCCTTAGATATTAATTTATCATTCGTTCAACCTGAGCCTCTTAAATGCTCTTCACGTACTATTTACGATTATAATAAAGGAGACTATAATCGCATTTGTTCGGACTTAGAAAAAGTGCAATGGAAGGACCTTTTATTACAAGGCACTATTGACAATGCATTATCTTCCTTCTATTCAATTTTATTCAAAATTAGGGACTCCCATATTCCCTGAGGGACTCTAAATATCCACGCTGGTTTAGTTCTTCACTCATAAAAACAATTAAAGAGAAATATAAATACCTTTCAAAATATAAGATCTATGGAAATATTGCCGATCTTGTGACATATCGATTACTCCGTGATCGAGTAAAGGAGACAGAGCGCGCATGTTATAAAGCATATATGGAGAATATTGAACTGTCTATTACAGACAACCCGAAAGTATTTTGGTCATTTATTAAAAGCAAACGAACAAATAGTAATTACCCGTCACGTATGTCATACAACAATTCTAGTTATGATGACGGTCAAAGTATTTGTGAATCATTTTCATCCTATTTTAGCTCAACATTTCTATCATCTTCCGGGGCAGCTCCAGCCTATGATGGTTCCAGAATTGAGGATATCATATTATGCAGCAAAGTAATGAACACCGTTGTAATTGATCCACTATCTGTTAATAAGCATCTTAAATCTCTTAATCTAAGCAAATCCGCGGGACCAGATCTTCTTCCAGCAACCTTTTTGGTGAAGTGTGCTGATACATTAACAGATCCCATAACTACTATCTTCACACGCTCTTTGACTGAAGGTATAATACCTAGTCAGTGGAAATCGGCTTTAGTTACACCGATACATAAGAAGGGTTCGAGAACGGAAGTGGAGAACTATCGCCCTATTTCAAAACTATGTTTACTTGCAAAAATTATTGAACGCATAGTCCACGAACAGGTTTTCAATGAACTAAAAATAAATATCAGTGCATTCCAACATGGTTTCTCGAAGGGTCGTTCTACGGTCTCTAATCTTGTCCTCTTTACGGATTATGTATCTGAAAGACTGGATGCTGGAGGTCAGGTCGATGCTGTCTATACCGATTTTCGTAAAGCATTTGACCGGGTTGACCATGATCTGCTGTTGCGGAAGCTATTTGAACAAGGTATCAGAGGAGATCTTTTCAGATGGTTTACATCCTATGTCCACAACAGAACTCAAGCAGTAGTATTAGGAGGGTACACATCTACTTGGATAACGATCCAATCGGGCGTCCCGCAGGGCTCGCTCCTGGGTCCCTTGTTATTTCTATTATTTATTAACGACATCGGCACGTGTTTTAAAAACTCTAATTTTCTGTTATTTGCTGATGACATGAAAATATATAGATCTATTGACAATACAACGGACAGCCTTCTACTGCAGGAAGATCTGTTGCGCGTTGCTGATTATTGCACTTCAAATCGTTTGGATCTGAATATCTCTAAATGTATGGCGATTACTTTTTCTCGTAAGATGAATCCTGTCAAATTTAACTACACTATAGACAATCATATCTTAAATCGTGTTAATGATATCAGTGATTTGGGCCTCCATCTAAATAGCCATTTGTCTTTTGAACCACATATTGATGCAATTGCTAAAAAAACTTCTGTCGCACTTGGTTTTATTATCAGAAACAGTGGTTCAATTAGTACTATGAAGCCCTTAAAAGTTTTGTTCTGTGCCTATGTGAGAAGTCAACTTGAATACGCCAGTCAAATTTGGAGCCCTAATTACTCAGTTCATATCTCCAGGTTAGAGAGAATTCAGAGAAAATTCACCAGATTCCTATGCTATAAGTTTAAAATTCCAGTAATGCCATACCGTGATAGATGTGTTCGTTTCCATCTTCTTCCCCTTGAGGTCCGTAGGAAAATCTCGGATGTGCGTTACTTCTCTAAAATAGCGCAAAATAAAGTCGACTGCCCTGAACTGGTTGCAAAAATTAAATTAAATATACCACCTCGACACTGTCGTCCTAGAAATTTGTTCCATACTCCATTTTCACGTACAGTTCACCGTAGCAATGCCTTTCTTATTCGCGTGTCTAAATTAGTTAATGCCACTAACAAGGGTCAAGATACTTCTCTTGACATATTCTCGGACAGCTTGTCATACAT